TGGCCTTTATCAAAAAGTCCCCAAACACAAATGTTAGCGTGGATGAGGAGAGAGAGGAACACTCCTGCACTGCTGGTGGGACTGCAAACTAGTTCAACCTCTGTGGAAAGCAATATGGAGATACCTCAAAGCGATACAGGTAGATCTACCATTTGATCCAGCAATTCCACTACTGAGCATCTACCCAAAAGATCAAAACTCACTTTATGAAAAAGACACCTGCCCTCGAATGTTTATAGCAGCACAATTCACAATTGCAAAGCTGTGGAAACAACCCAAGTGCCCATCAATTCATGAGTGGATTAATAAAATGTGGTATATGTATATCATGGAATACCACTCAGCTTTAGGAAACAATGGTGATAAAGCACCTCTGTATATTCCTGGATACAGCTGGAACCCATTCTACTAAGTGAAGTATCTCAAGAATGGAAAAACCAGCACCACATGTACTCACCAGTAAATTGGTATTAACAGATCAACACCTAAGTGGACATATAGGAGTAACATTTATCGGGTGTCGGGAGGGTGGGGGAGGGAGGAAGGGATGGGTATATACAACCACAACGAGTAAGATGTGCAACATTTGGGGGATGGACACTTTTGAAGCTCTTACTCAAGGGGGGAGGGAGGCATGGGCAATATATGTAACCTTAACACTTGTACCCCCATAATACGCTGAAAAAAAAACGTGTTGGTGACACCCAAAAAAATAAAAATAACAATAAAAAAATAAAAGCACTGTAGTATATAGTTAAATAAGTCATATTCTTCACATAGAGTAATATCAGAATATACAGAGGAGATCCAAACTGGAAACATAAATATATTGCAATATATTAAGTGCTCTAACAAGGGTTCCAAAGAGTGTCCTGCAGCTCAGATGATAGAGGATGGGACTATTAATTCTATCTCAGATTGTATGTGTATACACGCACACACACACACACACACACATGCACACATACACACACACATATGTATGCACACACACATATAGTCAATTCTAGTTATTTGCAGTAGTTACATTCTATAAAGTCATCATTAACACTGGATTAGCAAATACGGAACTAGTGCTCCTATGAGCCCTTGGTCAAAACATTTTTGTTAATTGATTAATACATAACCTTTTTTAACATGTGTTTCTGCTTAAATACACTTTTAAAATGTATGTTTCTTAAAGATAATTTTTTGTAAGATCTTTGAATGATTTAAAGCCTGGGACTTTGGTGGCCATTTGTATCTTATAGTTTCATTTTCCAAAGTCCTTGTATAATAAGCCTGTCTCAATAGCTTTGAAAACCTGCTCTTCCACATAATCGTTTTCCTATTTGACACTTAGGAGACATTAAAAAATATTCTTCCGAAGTGTGTTGATGTTCAGAACCTGTCTCAGCTACAAGGCTGACCTTTTTCATACCTCTTTGCCCTTTGAAATATGAACACCAGCCAGCACTAGCCATGAAGGATTTGACATTTACCTGACTCTCTTTTGCCAACCACCTGAGATAGAATCAAAATTTCTTTGATTTTATCCCACTGTAATCTCCCTTCGGCATTCTCTGTTCCTGTGGAAATTCACTCCATCTCAACCTGAGTAACCTGCATCCCTTAGGCCCAGAGGTCCCTACTTCTTCTTATATAGCATAAGTGGCAATGGTTCCCTCAGGCTTCCAAGTCCTCTGTATAATCAGGGCAAATGAGAAGTTCCTTTCATCATAGATATATAAACTGGCAATCTTCTAGATTTCTTAGGCAGCACTATCTCCAATGTGAGCATTCTAATGAGGAGTTAAAGAGCAAAGCAGTAAGTTACTGAAGTGATGGGTAAACAGAGGTGGCCTATACCCCGAGTAAGTCTGATATGGGAGAAGAGGGCAAAACTAGGAGAGAAAGCAACAGTTAGTTTGTAAAAGGAAAGGGAGGAAGAAAAAGTGAGCCAAAAGAAAGAGATTGACTTTAGGTACTTGGACATAGGGGATTTGAATGAGAAAAAAGAGTAAGTTTTGTAGGAAAAGAATGTATGATCTGATACAATAACATGAGGTGAGATGGGCTTGGCTGTTTTAGGCAAGTTGAAAAAAGTATTTGAATAGAGTGGTGAGAGTTTTGTTAAGAGTTTGCTAAGACAAGTACAGGGGCATTTGCTTAACTTTGGTGATGAGAGATCATTGATTTACTTGACTAGAACTGTTTGAGCTTCAGCAATGGGTCATATAGGAATCTAGATTGAAGAGAGATGAGATGAGATGAGGTGAAGAAAAGACAGAATGTATATCCTATTGTGCTCTCACAGTCTCTTCCACATATCTTTGGATAATTACAATTGACTGTAACCCTTGAGGGATGATATTGTTGATTTACCTACTTTCTGTGCTTATTACTAGAAGTACATACACATTCCCCATTCCAAGATCTAGGTTTTCAATGCTTAGCGTAGGAAGTCCAACTTGTGTTTTACTGTTTTGTAAAGCCCTAGGCTAAGTGTCTGACTTGAAAATTTTCTACTTTCCATTCTCCCTTTGAGGCTCACTTTCTCTTTGCAGGAATATCTCAATCCGCCAATGTAATTGGTAGTTGCCATAAAGTTAGAGGACTGCCCCTATGAGTTAAATAAAATCACAGAATGCAGCTGGTTATCTTTCTTCTCCTCACTAATACTTTGTAGGTCCCAACAAGGCAGTATTTCTGTTGCAGATAGTCTCACAACTCTCCACCTCACTTCTTTCTCTGCCTAGCAAGAAATATTGTTTTTAGAGCTTGCCCCCTTCATTTTTCTTCTAGGCTATCTTTTTGCAATTACAAAAGAAAAGCAAGAAAACAGCGATGTTTAGGTGATGCTTGGAAGAATTAGCAAGAAAGGTCAAGGATATTATTCCAGGGAAGCCAGTCAAAACTGTTCTACAGTCTGAGTGGGAGGGACCCCTAATGAATTACATTCACCACTCTAATTCCCAGGGTGTGACCAACAACCATCAACCATCACAGTACAGACCTGAGGCTAGTTCCTGAACATAGAGTTAAATTATTTCAATGTAAAAAGTAGAAGCTTCAGAAGCAGGGGCTCAGATCCTAATCATAACTTTCTAGTTTGCTCAGTGACATATCTAAACCTCAGACTACTCATTTGTAACATGGCCTCTGTTGATCTCATAGAGATATGCTATGGTTCAAATATGATAATAGATAAAAAAATTTTCAGAAGTCTAAAAGTGTTCTTAGATATTAGAATATGATTATAACTCATGAATGAAGTTAAGGAACTAGGTAATAGGGTCCATTTTACTTTAACTTGGTAGGTATCTCCATTAAGAACCAAGCAATTCTCATGAAAGAATTATTGCATCATGAAGCGGAAGGCATAGGTTGTTAAATGGCAGGGACTTTAGTAACAGACCAAAGGAGCTACATGGCTGTGAGATAGGAAAAAAAATGTTGCTGTAAAATAACAGGTAAGAAAACAGTAATGTTAAGTGACTAAAGGAATTGATTATGTTGTTTATTTTAGCAACAAATGTTGCTGTGACATTAGGGACCATATGTGATGGTCATATTATAGTTGTAGCTTCAGTCACTGATCAAGCTATTCATATGGCTGCAGCAGCCTGCTAGGCAAGACAATCGCTATTTTGGAAAATCTCCATCTCCTTGAGCAGAGACCGGAAGTTGAAATGTATTAAAGCTATTATTGTAGTTATATGGCTTTGGGCAAGCCACTTAAGTCTCCAATCCTCACCTATTTATCTATAACATGTTCTTCTATTGATTTCCTAGAGATATTTTATGGTGCACATATGATAATTAAAATGTAGCTTACTAAAATTGCAAATGGACTGTGGTAAACATTTCCATACATTATTTACTTTAATTATCTGTACAATATTGTGAGATAGGGCTTATTTTCTTTGCATTTGAAATGCTAAAACTTAATGAACAAGAGAGCAAGAACAAGACAAGCAAAAGAATGGGACCAGAGTGCTGCAATTCTAATAGTCCACTGGATCTAATAGTCCACAGTCTGGGGATGGGGTAACTTCATTCTAATACTCTAGAAATGATGGGTCTGTGATTCCTGATATTTTTCTTGCATCTGTCAGAGATAGTCCAAAGCCATTTCAGAAGATGGGAGCATTAGAAAAGCAGTCATTAGTTCCAGTGGCAACAAAAGGGAGGCTCCAGGATTATCAAGGTTCATATGTCTCATAAAATCACTTACATTCATGAAACAAATATCACTAAGTAAAACTCTAGACTCGTTGCAGTGTAGAAACACATAAATGAACCTTGATGAAGAATATGAAAGAGCCTCTAAACCCCAAATACCCAAGAATGAGTAATGAGATAAATGCTAGTGATAATTACCCTTGGATCCTCCTGAGCAACTGGTTCCCAATTAAATGAATTTCAGGATGATTTATCTATGTCTTTAATTGGTAACTACACTCGCTTTATATACAATGTTTTGAAGTATCAAGTTATATTTTATGATATTTTATTTCTAAAATGTTTCCACTAAGTTTTCTTGTCAGAGAACTATAAATGCCTAACATAAAAGGGTCAAAGTTTTAGAAAATATTCTTACTTAGCATCATACAGAAGATTTTGTGGCAAATAAATGATAAATATAAAAGTAAATAAAAACCAACCAACCTATCAAATAGGAGTAGAAAACCTACAGGGACATATTATTAACTTAGGAGAGGGAAGAACACCCTAGGAATGACTCAAAACCCAAAATCAATAGGGTAAAATATTGACAGATGAACTACATAATAATTATAAACTGTTTTAAGGATTCAACAATGGTATATTAAAAGGAAGTGATGATTTTGGATAAACTTTTCAAATATTTGACAAAGCTTCATTTTTCAAACTATCTACAGGATGTCCCTGCAAAGCAATGAGTTAAGAAAAAAATCTAGTAGAGAAATATGAATTACTATTTTCTGTCTGCTGTGTGTTATTCTTCCTTCTAGGAGTTCACATTTTTATAGTGAAAAATGGTTACTTGGGACCGCTCTGTGGCAGATGCTAATTTCAGCATTGGACACTCTGCTTCATTCTACCTCACTGGAATTCCTGGCTATGAGAATGTTCATCACTTTATCTCCATCCCCTTTTGCCTTCTCTACCTGATAGGAATAGTTGGCAACTGCTTAATCCTTCACATCATCCACATGAACAAGAGTCTCCACGAGCCCATGTACTACTTCCTGGCCATGCTGTCTCTCACCGACATGGGCATGTCCATCTCCACCCTGCCTACAGCACTGAACATCTTCTGGTTTGATGCTAGGGAGATTGGGGTGAATGCTTGCATAGTCCAGATGTATTTTATTCACACATTTTCTCTGATGGAGTCAGCTGTGCTCCTCGCCATGGCCTTTGACCGGTATATTGCTATATGTGATCCTTTAAGATATTCCAGCAAGCTTACCCCACAGCGCATTATCTACATAGGGGTCTTCATTGTCATCAGATGCTCCATTGTTGTCCCTGTTGTTCTTGTTCGTATTCCCACATTTTCCTTCTGTCACTCCCATGTTCTCTCCCACTCTTACTGTTTGCATCAAGATGTCATCCGATTGGCCTGTTCTGATATCTCTTTCAACATTTTGTATGGTGTGTTTGTTGTAGCATTTTATTGGGGTATAGATTCTCTGGGAATACTTATATCTTATGCTTTTATCCTTCACTCTGTGCTAGGCATCGCCTCACAGCAAGGAAAGCTCAAAGCTCTCAATACGTGTGCTTCCCACATTTGTGCTGTGCTCATTCTGTATGTGCCAATGATAGGGCTGTCCTTAGTGCATCGCTACGCAAAACACTCCTCCCCCATTTGTCACATAACCATGGCCAACATTTACCTGTTAGTCCCACCGGTACTCAATCCAATTATTTATAGCATCAAGACAAAGCAGATTCGCCAAGGATTCCTAAAGATATTATTACCCAAAAGGATTGGCCTTACTCATACTTAGAAAGTGCATGATTCCCTATTATTTTGATCTTTGCATCCACTATCTTCATCCTGAAGATTTCTTGTTTAGAACTTCTTGGACACATTTGGTGTATAATCATTCCTTTCATAAACTCTACATCACTTCAAGAAAAGTATTAAAACTGTGTATATTATTACTTCTTACTTTTAAGACATCTTAGAATCCTGACACCAGGATATTTAGTAAGAGGGAATTTATTTCATTCAAATAATTTATGGAGCTACTTTTACATTCAGGCTGGACAAGTAGTTCAATATTGCATGTTAAAAAACAAGACTTAGAAATGTTAACTAGTTGTGCAAAGGGAACAGAGATAGTACGCAGTAGAGTTGGCATTGCTACTGAATTTTCTTTTCATTAAAGCAAAGTAGACCTCATTCTCCAGATAGATTTTGAGCCAAATCATGCTCAAATGGATGTTTGAACCTAGAGATGAAATAAATGAAAAAAAAATGTATTTCTTTGTTTCCTTTGTGTGTATTGAAATGAATGTCAGAAAAAACTTGGACAATGAATGCATGGGGATTGTTTTCTCCAAAGGGGAACACCCACAAGAGTAATCAAGAATTCACACCAAAGAGGCTGTATACCCATCATGAAGTGGGTAATACAATGTATCAAAAACAAATGTTTAACATGCAAATCTTTAAACAAAAATGCAGTGAGAAAGATGCCCCCAAATCATCATCAACTGTAACTGTCCAACTCTGTGTCTCACTCAATTCCCAAGGAAATAAGAGGAAAATAAACTAAACAAATTAATTAATTTATAAAAGTCAAGCCTAAAGTGCACATTCTAATGGGAGAACAGAAATGAAGGTGAGGCAAGTAGGAAGACGGTTTAAGGAGAACCTAAACAAGTTATTTTATTTTATTTATTTTGCAAATGACCCAAATAAAACTTAGCTAAGTAATAGAAAGTTGAAAAACATATATAGATTTTAAATAATATTATAGGTAGAATAATCTATAAAGAAAAAGGAATATAGAAAATAATGAAAAAAAGTTAAAACCATACAGAGCTATGGTTTAAAAAAATCATTCAGGAAGTAAAATTTCAAGAAACATAATAGTAAAATAGACAACAAACTTTGAAAATCCAAATGAATTTAAAAGCACAAAAATGCTGTAAAAACTTACTTTAAAGATGAAATAAAAGAACATATTTTAGAGAAAGAGGGGCCAGTGAATGCTACAGAATAGCAAAAAGAATAATTAAACACATCGAAATAATTGGCACAATATAACAAATATTTCAAGAAACAAAATAAGAGATGTAAAAGGAAGAGAGGGAAAATGTTAAAGTAAAACAATGAGAAAGATAATAATTGATATGTAACACAGACCTACAGATTCATAATCTGAATAATGTGTATTCTTATAGTAGAGAACAGAACCAATAAAATATAAATGATAAGAAATATTTTTCCAGAATGAAACGATTCTCACTTAGGCACATGTTGGGAAAAGTTACTAAAAACCACAAATAGTGAAAGAATAATATAAATGTATAGGGACATTTTAAAGTCAATTAAAACAAAATATATTCAATCAAAGTTTCAGAACCTCAAAGTTCTTCACTAAAAGTTTATATCGTATATTAATAGAAGGATTTCTGAGGGGAAAACATGTGACCTAAATATACTCTGTATTTAGCATATTGAAGTTTTTGTGTATTGAATTATATAATATATGGGATATGTCTAAGAATAATGGAAATGGTAGACAAATAAACAAAACAGGACTGTGAATCAGTTTGTAATTGCTGAACCCAAGTTATGGGCACATGGGGATGTGTTATAATTCTCTCTCTCTCTGTTTATATATGTTATTTTCCATAATACATGCTTAAATAAATAGCTAATTAAAAATTAAAATTTCAACAATATTTGAGCCCATATAGAATCTAATTGTTTAATGAGTAGATTCCGTGACATTTAAAAAGATCTATGAAAAAGTCTTTTTATTATATGTCTAACTTATGATCACAAGCTCCATTTTCCTCTTTCCTTCTGTTTGTCAACTGTATTATCTCCTCTGATAAGCCTGTCCCTTGCTCCCTTTCAGATGAAAAGACACATTTTTTTGTTCAGTTTAGGTTTTTTAAAATGAACATACAAAGAAAGCTTACAGCTTTAATATGTAAAGAAATTGATGTGGTGGTAATCAGCCTCTGGTTGATGAACACTACTTTCTCTTTTTTATAAAGAAGTTAAGATTTATACATGACAAAGACATTATTTTGAAAATTCTGATTAGGTGGTTTTATTTTCCAGTGGAGGTCATAATTACTTTGTTCTTTCTTTCCACCGTATACCTGAGAAATATATATACCTTGTTGCAAAGAAGTATAGTTGCATTGATTAATGATAATCCTTTACGTTTGACATCCTTGATCATATTTTGATATGATTATATATTTTATGATATAAATTTGTTTAGATTATGTCAAAATGATTTAAATTAATATTAAAGTGATTAAAATACAAAGATAATTCTGAGGGCATCTGGTGCCAGTGAGGGCAGTAAAGACAAATTAAAAAGAGGATTGCACTTCCAGTTCATAGACACCATGTCCCTCCCTCCTAGAGTTAAGCTCTGAATAAGTCCCTCTCGTTGGCTGTATAATATCTAGAATTCTTTACTGTCCTGTCATATTCTGGACACAATTAGTATCTCATCTCATGTGACATTACATCATTTGTTCCAGACATTAAGATAATAAATATTTGAGAATCTCCATACCATTTTCCTTTCTACCCCTAAACTGAAAGATATTTCTGCAACCTGGAAGTGGTGGAGAGAGAGGATCATGGGAAGGGGCCAGCACAGAAATGTTGGCATTGCCAGGGTTACAGCCACTTTCCTGCATTATCTTGGGGCTTCATATCTCTTAGGAATAAAAGAAGACTTATTAACTCTTCCTTACTGAGCTGAGAATTAGAATAGTCACTGCTTGTAAGAGGACTATTCTACCAGTATGGGAGGCCTGGGAAAATATAGAAGTGGGAGGTTATAAGAACATACAGAAGGGAACCTGAGAGGCCAAAGAAGGTGGGCAAACATCCAAAGTATGAGAAGGAGAACCCAGGGACTTTTTTGGGAAGGGAGAGGTTCTCAGTTCAGCACAGGGCATCATTTTCACCAAAATATTTTTATTCCTCATCCTCATGTTCCCAGCCTTCTAGTCAGACTCAGACTTTTCAGACAGAAAAGTGTTAAGTAAGACAGGGTTTACTTAAGATGCCCTTGATTTTTATGGCAGGTGGTCTCTGCCCATGGACATGCTCTTTGGACAGTGTGAAGGACTATTTTCGGACATAACAGAGAAGTAATATCAAAATAAGATTGGGATTTCACTACATAACCTCAAGGTTCCTTCAAATCCCAAGTACCAGTGATTTTAAGCTTGATTTTAATTATAGCTCGGAAGTCTCAACCCCACTTTATAAGTCCTTTAGACTTTTAAGTTTAGAATTCCACAAACTCCCTTCTTCTCTATGGAATGGTGGAATAGATCACATGGCCATGTGGATGGGTTTGAAATATATGGTTAGGAGCAATAAGATTTAGACTGTAAAAATTCTACAATATAAGGCTGTGGAACAAGGAGGACCAGATACTAATGAATTATATAAATGTAGTGAAATATATATAACATATATATGAAATATATACATATTCATATAATATATATATAATAAATTATATAATAATATATGGTAACTGCAGAATATTAATGTAACAGCTGAGATTTGAGGCTTACTGAGGTCCCAGTGATATCATCTCTTTTCTTGGTAAAACTTCCAGTTATACCCTGGACTCTTTAAATTGTCCCTGAATGGAATGAAAAACACATGGGTAATGCCATGATAATTATCAGAGGAATTTCAAGGTAGAGCAAGCTATTAAGAAGAAATTCTTATCTCTGGCTTTGCTGAGTCTTCACTGGATGAAATTGAGGTAAAAAT